TGATGATGTCGGATGAGCTGCCGGTGTCTATAAGGATCCGTCCAACCAGCTAGTTGGCAACTTTACATTCAATGACTACCGGGTCATCATGCGGGCGGCGGACGCTGCCCCTGTCCTTCTCAGTGATCAAGAAGTCTGCGAAGGAGGAGCTGGCTTCCGCCTGCTCATCATCATCTTTGTCCATCTTTCGAAGATGGCTCTTGGTGCCCCGGATGGTAGGGCCACCACATGAGAACCCGCCTGCTATAGTGTAGACCGGCTCCTTGTCGGTATCCGAACTATTAGCAGGCTGGGGGGTAGTCTTGGAGGACTGCCCCTTGTTTTTCTTTTTTGCCCCGGCTGGGGACTTAGTAATGTAGGACTTCAGCATCCCTTTGTCAGCCAGACGGTCCAACGCCCGCTGAAGACTAAAGCAGTTGTTGGTGTCATGGCCAACTTCCTCATGGAACTGACAGTATTTATTTTTGTTCCGTGACTGGACAGAACTTTTCATAGGATTCGGCTTCTCAATGGACAGTCGGTCCTTTACCTCCATGAGGATGGAGTTACAATCTTTGTTAAAATCGTACTTGGGGACGTACGGTTTAAACTCTTTCTTTTTCTTCTAGGACGGCTGGTCAGAGTCACTAACCGCCCATACTTCTTTTCTCTTCTTGCTCTCTTCTTTCTTTTTTGCCGGCTGAGCAGGCCAGTTGTCTTTCTGCTTGTCAGACTTCTTAGAGTCCGACTGGCTACCAGGCGAGCAGAGGTCGGTAGCTTGAATATAGCTTTCCGCCTCCCTCAGGGCCGCCTGTAAGGTGAAAGCCCCTTTTCTGACAAGGTCAAACTTAAAAGTCGACCCGTCTCTCAGACCCTTAAAAAAGTCTGTAAAAGCTACCTCATCAGACAGCCCCTGAATCTGAATTCTGATCAGGTTGAACCGCCTGACATATGAGCGAAACCCTTCTCTCTCTCCCTGCTTAACAGTGCTCAGATCAAGGCTTGTTTTCTTAGCAGGGATGTTCATTGAGAAGTTAGAGGCAAACAGGAAGGCAAGCTTCCTGAAGCTGTCTATGGACCCGGCTGGCAGATTACCAAACCATTGTTGGGCAATGCCCTTTAATGTAGACGGGAAGCATCGACACCAAGTGACATCATCCAACCCCTTCAGATGCATGAGGTTGGTGTAAGCCATGAGGTGATCTTCCGGGTTGGAGGTACCGTCATAGGTACCAACCAACACATTCTTAACCTTGGCCGGCTGAGCCGCCTCGGTTATCTCCCGAGTGAACGCAGAAGGGTGTTCACCCAGGCGCAGCAAACGAAGCTGCCAGTCCAAAGGCTGGACATTTGGATATGCCGCCTGACCCCCAAAGAAGGTCGGCTGCATGAAGTGAGGAGGATACTGCCCGTAAGCCTGAGTAAGCATATACGGGACAGCTCCAATCATATGAGGGCCAGAATGGACGGTATTACCGCCTGTCTGACTCTCATGCAAGGAGGGTGCACTCCCTGCAGAAATGTTGTTGAAGCTGTCAGGAAAGTTCAACGTTGAAGCCGACTCAGACAGCGACTGATTTCTCTTGCGGTTGATGATCTCCCGGGCATCAGTAATTGATTTCTTGCTTCTCACCGGCTGCTGAGGCCGGCGAGTGTTGGTGGTGTTGTTCCCAGGAAGGAGAATCTTTGACCAATCAATGGTCCCGGCTGCCTTCTCCTTTGGATGGGGAGTGGGCTGTCGGTTCCTAACTGACTTTCCCTTCCCTGGAGGAGTCTTCTTTGCCGCCTGGCCTTTACTTGGACCAGCCCGGCTCTTGGTGATCAGCTCTGTGATTTCACCCTTGAAACTCGTCATGAACCTCATGAGTTCGTCTCGGGTGAAAGGGGCTGATCCTGCTGCCGTTTGGGTTGCCCCATCCGGCTGCCCAGTGGGCCTGCTTGGACCCGCCCAGGAGGCACCCCGCTCCATAGTTTCCCTAGACCGGATGTGCTTGACTCTAAGAGAGCCGTCTTCGGCTGTGGAGGTTTGGACCTGAGGATCCTCATCCTCCTCATGGTCTGTAAAAACTTCTGGGTCTTCACCCAGACGGTTAGGAGGTGGTACAGACTCTTGAACCATCTTCGAGGTACTCTCCCCACAGACGGCGCCAAATGTTTTGGGTGTTTTTGTCCCTTGGGAGAGTTACGTCACGAAGTCTGATTCCGGCTGAGCTGCACCTGCAAAATAACGGAGACTCCGGGTGGTTGGAGCTCCGCCTCCGACGGTCAAGTTAGTAACTTGAAACGGAGTTAAAAGAACGGAAATTTAGGTGGGTATCTGCTTGGATTCCAAGCTCATGCCTTTCTCTGATGTAAGAGAATAAGGGTGTAATCAATGATTCAATCTGTCCCCAAAATGGGGAAATATCTCCCTATTTATAGGGTCGTTGGGAAAAGTGCCCCTACCTAGGTCACTTAACCTAGATTTTAGTGGGATGCGCCGTTTTACGGCGCTCCTAGGAATCTGGGCCTTTGAAGCCGTCATTCTCGGAAACGTATTTGAGGGCGCCAAGTGTCAAGAAGTGTCAAGAGGATGCTGAGCCACATGGGCCATCCTAAGCTCGACACGTGGCGACCTCTCATTGGTCCACGTGTCAAGAGGATGTTGGGCCACATGGGCCATCCTGAACTCGACACGTGGAGAGCCCTCATTGGCCCACGTGTCTAGGGTAAAAATCCCCCAAACAGAAAGTGGCCCAACCGAACCCAACTTGGGGCTCAAGGTTGGGTGACACATGGTTAGCTCACAATGCATGTGAGTTTCCTTGGGGACCAAGTGAGAAAGTGGTCCTCACCTAACCATGTGACACTTATTACTTGTTCATATTGGTTTATTTAACTAAGGGTTGAATTCATCAATCTTTCCATGTGGGATATTTTTGTGAAAAAGTTCCACATTGAAAGATGAGTGGAATTTACAAGGAAACTTTCCTTATAAATAGCCAAGGCATGGCTTGGGATTACTTGCTTGAGTAAGAGTTGGAAAAGGGATCACTAGCAGTGAAAACCTTTGAACTCAAGAGTTGAAAAAGGTATCACCTTTGTGAAAGCCTTTGAACTCAATTACTCGGATTTCGGTCGGGCCTTGCTAACTCCAAGGCATTGGACCTAGTCGGTGTTCGAGTTGTGGGTGGATCATCGTTGGAGGCCTTCGTAATTTCAAGGCTAGCTATCAAGTAAGAGCCCTAGTGGTCGGGCGAAGCACTCTTCAAAGGTAATCTTATTATCTTAATTTTGTCATTAAGTTAATTATATTTATAGTTTTATTTATTGCGAGTGAGGTCTTGTTTTTTGGGTATGTTTCCGCGGTGAGTCGGACTCACCAAACCCCAACATTGGCTACTGGTCCTATTCCCATGGAATTAGCAGCCGCAGCAGTGGAAAACATGTGGGAAACTGATCATGGCTGGAGGTGGAACATCTTTACCCCTTACTTAGATTCGGATACCTTGAAGCTCTTACAAAATCATGAAGTTAGAGCTGACCCGCGAATATCAGAGATTTGATTTATTGGAAGGGAGACTCCAAGGGTAAATTTACAATCAAATCTGTTTTGAGCATCATGCACCATGAAACTGACAGCCTCGAGGAAGAATTCTGGAACCTTGTATGGAAGGAACCTGTTCAGCAACGTGTGCGTGTGTTTTAATGGTTAGCTTGTCATGACAGAGTCCTTGGGAATCAAAACAGGTTCAAAAGGAAACTCACTAAAGATCCCAATTGCTTCATTTGTGGTCATATGGAAGAAAGTTCCCTCCACATCTTAAGAGATTGCCCAGTAGCAAAGCAAGTATGGAATTTAGTTCTCACTCCCTCTCTGGCACGTGATTTTTTCGGCCAGGAGGCTGCTTCCAGTTCAAGGCAAGCAAAACAGCAACAACATATCTCCTAGTTAGCTCCTAATTGGGGGTGGTATGTACTCAATTGTGATGGTACGATGCTGCTAAAGGGTGTCCCGTGTCCAGGTCTGGCAGGGGTTGGAGGGATCATCATAGATCATGAAGGTAACCTCATATCTGGCTTCTCTACGAACTTTGGTCGTTGCACAACTTTTAGAGCTGAAGTTCTAGCTCTTACACGAGGCCGAGGTCATAAACTAGCTAGAAATCTACAATATTGAACGCTTGGAGGTACAATTAGACAACCTTGCTTGCATTCAAATCCTAAAGCAGGGGAAAGCATCAAGTGGTGAAAACGTACATGAACTTAATTGATGCTTGGATATGCTCAATGATGAAGGATGGGAAGTCAAGGTTGCTCATATTTATCGTGAAGGAAATCGCGCAGCGGATTGGTTGGCCAACCGCGGAGTCACTCAAGACACGTATTTTGATATTCTTAATTTTGTTCCTTTAGTTCTTAGTAGTATCTTAGCGGAGGATGCTAGGGGGGTGGCTTTCCCACGCTTAGTTCCTCCCTAATTTTTTAGTTCTTGCCTTTTGTTCTTTTTTGGGTTTTTGTTATTTTGTTTATCCTTGGCTTTGTCTCATTTTGAATAAAAAAAAAAAACTACCAAGTATAACATATTATTTTCCTCCAAAAAAAAAAACATATTATTGATATGTTGTTCCTCACTAGTTAAATTCATTGAACTTTACTTTTCTTTGGACCATGAACAACACAAAGGATAAGGCATATCCGATCCTTTCATACCACTTTATTATTTCATGTCTTTTGGATTTGAAATTTTTTATAAAGTAATTCTTGATTTGATACTGACATCGCTTTACATACTCTACCTGTTAATTTACAATAAATATTAAGACGTGAGCTATTGTAAGTTGCAAGAAAATTTAAGGTTAAGTAAAGGTGGGTGGGTGTATGAAAAACGATAGATCAGAGAAAGTTTGAGAGGGATTTCAGACACCAAGTATTACTCTGCAATTACATACGAAGTATTTATTTTACTTTACCCAATTTCACTTTTTACGCTTGTAAATGCGGAATTTCTACAAATATCCTTTCTTTTTGTTAAGTACAAAGTATAAAATGTTGATGTTTGGAAACTATTTATTGGGATGTGTCTAATAATAATGTCTGTCTCATACTATAATGATTTTCCTTATACATCATATACTTCCTCCGTTTTTTTATTATTGCACCATACGGATTGAGTTCTAATATTTTGGTAAAAATTCTTAAATGAACCTGGTCCATAGTAAATTATTGTGGACCAAGTAGCTGTCACGTGCGTAAGGAATAGAATGGCTTAATCGTTTTGGAAATTCAAACAAGCTACAGAATTATTTCGTTACCTTTTGCTTTCTCTCTCTTCACATGAACTTCCAACTTCCAAGCTCCATCTTCTCTCTTTAAAGGTCCATTTTCTCTCTCTTCGAAGCTCGCCCATATGAGTTTTTCTCTCTCTACATTTCAAGACCTCTTAGCCTCTTCTTCAATGGTGATAACTAGAGGTGGTGGAACATTATAGAGGAAGAGGGCCTTCGTTCTTCGGTAAATCCCGATGATGGACATAACGTAACTGCGGTAAATTTCTTATTTTTGAGTTGATTATTGAACTTTTTAAGCTTATTAGGTTGATGCTCTTCTTGAATTGAAGCTCTTTTGGGATTTTTGCTTGAATTTTATGTAGTATTAACGATCTAGGGTTTCAATTTGATCAATTCATGTTGATTTATAATTAGATTGAATCTCATTGTTTTATATATATACATTAGCTATTTAATTAGGGTTTTTGATTTCGCGTAATTATTGTTGAAAGTGAGAGTTTGGATGATAACAGGAAGGGTCACTGTATGTTTTTTTTTTTTCAATTTTTTGAAATATGGTTAATTATTAGTTGAAGTAGATAATAGGGTAACTATGATTTAAAAGGGGTCACTATATTTTGGAAAGTGGTGTTTAGCTTAATTATAGTCAGGTTGATCATTGTGTGGATAATAGAATCACTATATCATTACTGTTAGACCTTGGACGTACATCTGATAAAGAGATTGATAGAGTAAATTCTGATTGTGAGAATCATGTACTAGGCTCAACTAAAGAGGAAGAGTGTAGAGGTGTCTGCCTGTAGTCACCACTATAGGTAATTATTTTGCCACCAGTTCTGTTGACACATTCTAATATCAATTAAAATTACTGCTGGAGGATAACAGATGCAACAAGATCACCCAAGCGTCATCGTAAAAAAAGAAGTGAACATATACCTTTTGTGATCATTGAACTAGCGACTTTAATTTTCACTTTTCGTTTGGATACAACAAATATGTGGGCATAATAAATTGACAAGTGACAATAGTGTTTGTTGGGTTGCTTTAATTTGTTTAATTTTTACCTAGTTTGTAGTTTTTGCTTAACCTTCTTAATAACTAGGTTATTAATGTGCAACTTTGTGGTATATGATTTATGTATTTTGAACACTTTTTCTGAGTGGAAATTTATATTTTTTATTCCAATATATTTTTATTTTATTAAAAAATTAATCGCATTATTGAGGTCTTTTTTTAAAAAAAAAAATAAATAAAGTAAAGTGATGCTCAAATGTCTGAAATGGAGCAGCTTCAGTATATTATATAGTCTTCAACTTGATTTTGTCAGATAATTCTATATTATTGATGTTGAATGTTGCTCTTTTTTTTGGAATGAGTTAGGCAGCGAGAGGAGGTCTACATACCTGACTGATGGAGGGTGCCCATGCTGGTATTCAGATATTGGTAGCAGTTCATGCTCGAAAACAGAAATTTACTGATGTCTAGAGGTATCTAAATACCATTACATAGTTCATTATATCAATTTAATATGAATGACTTTAAGATTAAATTTATCTTTGAATTTAACCAAGGGAACTGAAAATATTATACTTCCATTTGCTTTCTGATGCATCTATCAATCTAATTGTTTTGTGATTCTGCAGAAACTGTGTTGGTATTGAATTTTGAGTTGCATTGTAAAGCCGTGGTGATTTTTAGATGCAAAGGATGATAAAGTTTGTGATGACCTTGTCAAGAAGCTCTAGCTTTCTTTCATGTAAGCTGCTTATAGTTTTATCACTGCCACTTTTTTCTTCTTTGAAGGACCTTGTCATTTCACCAAAGATTATAATATATGCATTTCGATTTCTTGCAGCTCTCAAGTAGGAAATATGATTAGATGATTGTAATTTTATCAAACTTGGCTGCAGCAACTGAAGATCTATTTACTAAATAAATTTTTGATTTCAGCAGTGCCTCAAACTACAGATTCTCTTATAAGCTCAAATCCCTTGGGGTTATGCAAGTCCAATGAACATGTATGTTTACTTGAATTTGGTTTTCATTAGTACTTTATGTTGACTCTGGTTTGTGGTTGGTACTACATTCTAATATTCATCTCTGCATTACAGGGTACATAACCCTTGAAAACGCTGGTTCATGGATGTCTCTACTTATATTGGAAGCTCATTGTTGACAGGATAATGTACATTTCTACTCCGAATTTGATATGGAGCTTCAGTACAGAAGTCATAACATCTGGCCCTTAGGCTATTAGCTTAACTTGTCTTTGCCGGATAAGTTCGATGTTGTTGATGTTGATTTATTTTTTTTCTTTGGGTGAATGAGTTAGGTGAGGGGAGGTCTACATACTTGAGTACCTGACTGATTAGATGGTGGTATTGGTCGCAATTCATACCGACTGATTGGATGTTTAGAGGTATTTAAATACATAGTTTATCATCGATCAAATTTGACTGAGTTTAAGATTAAACCTGCCTTTGCTTGGAATTTAACCAATGAAACTGAGAATATTACATGGACCATATGTGTATGCTTCAGCATTAGATTTCCATTTGCTCTCTGATGTATCTATCAATCTAATTATTTTATGGTTCTGCAGAAATAATGTTGGTAATGGTTATTTGGCATTGAATTTTGAGCAATATTGTGAATCCGTGGTGATTTTGAGCAGCAAAGTGATGATAAAGTTGTGTGACTACCTTGGGAAGAAACTCTTGCTTTCATATATGTAAGCTGTTTTAACAAATTTGTCATGCAACTTTTTTTTTTATTGAAGGTCTTTGTCACTGCAACCAAAAATTATAATATATGCATTCCATTTCTTGCAGCTCTCAAAGAGGAGATATGCTTAGGTGATGGCCTTATGTTGGTTTGCAATCTGAGTTACTAGATTTACACAGTGCTTCTTTTCCAGTGCCTTGTCATAACATTGCCTTATAAGTAATTCTCAAGAACGGGGAACTCCCTAGCTAATTCGTGTTGAATGCTGTTCAGTTTTGAATCAGACCAGGGGCGGCCTGTATACTTGGACTGATTGTCTGCTTTGGCATTTGTCGAAGTAAATATTGGAATTGTGAGAAAGATTGACCTAAGCCTGAGGATTTCCCCTGTTCGTTCATAATTTATCAACAATCAATAGCCTTATTATTTAAGTCTGAAAGGATTTCTGAAAGGTTGTTATTGTTATAAAATATTCCAAAGAGAATGAGCTGGAGATGCACTCTGCAGCCTGCAGGAAAATAGATGTGATATCTTTTTATTGACTGCTGCAACCGAAAGATCTTTGTACTGAATAAATTTTAGGTTTTTGCAGTGCCTCAATTGCCTGAAACCAGAGATGTTCTTATAAGCTCAAAACCGTTGGGCTTATGTAAGTCCAATGAACATGTACGTTTACTTGAATTTAGTTGTGTTTATGTTGAATCTGATTTTAAGTTTGTTGCAATGATGCAGCAGAGATTTCATATGTTACATGAAATGACACTTACAGTTTACTGCAGGTTGTTATTGTGATAAAATTATTCCAAAGAGAAGTAGGAGATGGTAGAAAAATTGTGATGGCTCAAAACCCTTGGGCTTATGCAAGTCCAATGAATTTGGTTATATGAACATGTACGTCAGTACTTAAGTTCACTTGAATTTGGTTTTTAAAAAAAACAAATTCACTTGAATTTGGTTTTCAATAGTTCCGTACGTTGATACTGATTTCATGGCTTGTTCTGTTATATTCTAATATTGATCTCTGCATTACAGGGTATAACCCTTGAAAATGCGGGTCTGTGAATGTCTCTACGTATATTGGAAGCCCTGAAGCCTTGGATCTTACGGTTTCTCTTATGCTCTTACCATGCGATGACTAGTGCCGTTTGAAATGTCACATTAACAAAACATGCAGGTTAGAAGCACTATCTGTTATTTCTGTTTAATACTTGCATAACTGCTTAACTTGTATACATGTGAAATATTGCTAATTTTTGTACATGGTTTTGCACAGTGGATATTCCAGCTCGTTCACACAGAAATCCATGACGACTCAGTACATATGGGAATCAATTTTCCCAAATCGACGTAGAAGATCATGTGGCAAACTTGAGATCATGGTGCTAATAACTTTTGAATCAACAGCTGCAGTTCCAGACTTCCAGCAGCACGTTTTACCACTTTGCTAGAGCAACAAGGAGATAACAGCTACTGATGATCCAGCCCACTTAGGCTCTATATAGCAGTAAAGTTGGAGGTAGTGGTTATTAGCGTTTTGATCAGGTCGAATGGGCTACATCCTCCAAGTAGAAGAGAATAACCCCAACAACGCTGATATTTTTACCGTTTGACAAAACCTACTCAAACGTTACCTCTATCACTATCCGCTATTTAAACCACTGAGTTGTTGGAAATAAGGAGCACACAGAAGCATCTCAGACACAAAATAGAGGAAAGTCAAAGAAGAAGAATGGGAGGTTCCCCATCGAATATGTCTGGTTTTTCACCTGATCGGGACCCAAACGAAAGTCGGTTGACGCCTAATTTTGATACGTTTCTGCCATCCCATGCTCTATATCCAATGGTTAGATAATACTTTTGTCTCCGAATGTTGATAATCTCTATTTGTATGGAGAATGGTTTGTTCCAAACATGTTGTTTGATGTTGTAAAGCCTCCAACATTTTTTGGAGGACAACTTGGTGTACCCATTAATTATTGAAGTGGAAGGGCTTGGTGCCGGCTTACGGTACCCGTGGTTTTTTCTCGGATTGGGTTTCCACGTATATCTCGGTGTGCTTTATTTTTATTGCATTTGAGTTATTTAGTATTGTTTGTTGTTGTCCATATTGCGTTTGCTCAAAATTAGTAGTATTTTTCACATTCTACAACACATTAGGAAAAATGAAATCGTTGTGCTTTCGCTTTTGATTATGTATTGTGTGTGCATCTTTCCCATTTTTCCTAATGTGTTGTAGAAATGTAGAATGGAAAAAACTACTAACTTTTGTATTGTGATTATCGTTGTGCTTCCGCTTGTGATCATGTATGTGTGTGCATGTTTCCCATTTTTCCTAATGTGTTGTAGAATTGGAAAAAAAAAAAGCTACTAATTTTATGTATTGTGTGTGCTTTCCCATTTTTCCTAATGTGTTGTAGAATGGAAAAATGAAATCAGTGTGTTTCCGCTTGTTATTATGTATTGTGTGTGCATCTTTCCCATTTATGTGATTATGTATCGCAGTTTTTTGTTTACATCACGTTAGTTATATTAGAAGCACAAACCCATTTGTGCCGCCAGTGTAGTACCAAATATAGTTTAGTTCAAGTGCCAAATTAGGTCGTTTCAGAATACAAAACGTTCTAATTTGGGTCTTGCAATGCTGACTTCTACTCATCCATCACTCACATTAAATAAATAAATTAATAATAGGCAGAGAAATGCTTGTCTTTAGACTCTGAACATTGACCAAGCAGAGGATTGAGAGGACTAGCCTCCCTGCAAATAAGGAGATGAGCTCAGGGAGCTAAAACATGCAAGCAATTGTAAATCTGGATTATTTGCAAGTTAAGAGAATACGTTGTTTGTAAATACTGGACAAGCATCAATGCAAAACTATTGAACCGTTTATTGGCTCGTCTTCATAACTCAAAATCAATAGTAATGAGATGCATATTGACAACATGTAATCATGTATCACAGTTATTTGCTTCTGCAAAGATAATTATCATCGTATGTGCCACAATGGCATCAAAAATCTTGGAAATTAAGAAATTTGGGACAGTAATGAGTGAGTAAGCCATGAAATCTAAATGTGGATGGCTTTGTCATAAGTTGCCATCGCAGCTTCCTTCAAAGCCTCACTCATGGTTGGGTGTGCATGGCATGTACGTGCGATATCCTCGCTCGATGCCCCGTATTGCAATGCTAGAACAGCTTCATGGATGAGTTCACCGGCATTAGGTGCCATAATGTGAACTCCTAGAATCTTATCAGACTCCTTCTCAGCCAAGATCTTGACAAGTCCTTCAGCGTCATCGATTGCCTTGGCTCTACTGTTGGCCATGAATGGAAATTTACCCACACGGTACTCAACGCCAAGAGTTTTTACCTGCTCTTCGGTCTTACCCACAGAAGCCACCTCAGGATGCGTGTAACAAACCCCAGGGACCAAGTCATAGTCAACATGTCCATGCTTTCCTGCAATGAACTCAACACAGGCAACCCCATCCTCCTCTGCCTTGTGGGCCAACATGGGTCCAGGGATCACATCTCCAATGGCATAGACTCCAGGAACATTTGAAGAAAATCGTTCATTGACCAAAATCCGCCCAGCCTTGTCCATTTCTACTCCAAGGTTTTCAAGTCCAAGCCCAGATGTAAATGGTACTCTGCCAGCAGAGACAAGAACTACATCAGCTTCAAGTACTGTTTGTTCACCACCAGCTGAAGGCTCAACAGTCAGCTTCACACCATCCCCAGAGGTGTCTACGCTAACAACCTTGGTCTTCAGCTTAAACTTCATTCCTTGTTTCTCAAGCGAGCGTTGAAATTGTTTGCGCACTTCACCGTCCATGGAAGGAACAATATCTGAAGCAAATTCAACAACAGTAACCTCTGAACCAAGCCGGCCCCACACAGAACCCATCTCAAGGCCAATATAGCCAGCACCTATCACTACAAGCCTCTTGGGGATTTCTTTTAAAGCCAAAGCTCCTGTTGATGATACAATTTTCTGTTCATCAATGGTAACTCCAGGTAGAGACTTGACATCAGACCCAGTAGCCACAATGATATGTTTGCCTTTCACAACAGTATTTTCGCCTTCGAGAGTATCCACAGACACTTCAGAAGGAGAGAGAAATTTGCCATAGCCCTTCACATACTTGACTTTGTTCTTCTTAAACAAACCCTCAATACCTCGGGTCAGATTAGCCACGGCTTTGTCTTTTTGGCCCATCATGGCAGGCAAATCTACCTCAACTGAAGAGAATTTTACACCGTGGGAAGCAAAAGCATGCTTCGCTTCATGATACATGTGGGAAGAATGAAGAAGTGCCTGAAAAAATCATGCAATACTACAAAGGCTAAGATATACAAGAAAACTAAGGGAAAAAATAAATTGGGAGTAAAATGCAGAGCCAAATTCATCATAAATGAAACTAAAGATGAAAGTTGCCTCTAGCATCTGATTATATAAACTTTGAAAAACAGGCACTAAACTTTTGAAGTTTTGATAATCAAGGAGTATGTTTGATGTGCAAGTGACTAGTAAGAAGCTAGCTTAGGGCACCCCATTTCAAACTCACCCTTCAATTAAATCTAACCCCTTTGCAAATTTCAGCCAGCAAACTCAACAATTATGAAACCTAACACTTTATCGATATACACAACAAATAGACACAACCATCCATCCATATAATGGGTTAGTCAACATCATTTTCTTTGGCAACCCATTAAAATTATAAAAGTAAAAGACAGTCAAAGGAGAAAAAAAAAAATCACCACTACAACACAGCTATACATAATAGAACCATACAACCCAAAATCATATGTTTGGATAATAGGGGCAAATAAAAAAAAAAAACAAATCCAAGTTATCCAGCACAACTGAATCATACATCCTCCATCCTTTAAAAAAAATTTAGTTTATTGCAACATGTCCTTATTGCACATAATTAATCTTACTCATCTCATCACAAGAGTACCTTTTAATTTCTCTATCTCTCTCTCATCATCACATGGACTCCTAAAATGTTGCAATACAAAAAAAATGGAGGAAGTACACCTCTGATAACCAATTCCCTCCCCCCACCCAAAAAAAAAAAAAAAAAAAAAAAAAAAAAAAAAAAAAAAAAAAAACAGAAATTTCCGGTGCGACATCATACATACCATGTGTACAGCTGACTTTAATCAGTTACTATCATACTCCCGAAAATTCAACTGTACACATAAGATGGTTTGCATCCCTCCTCTAATGAAATAATATTGCCCATTATGCTTTCTTCCTTATTTGGGCAAGTTCATGTCTCTAATGCAATGGACCAGCATGAAGAATGGACTAATTACAATCAAACTCATTAATAAACATGATGGAAAAGTCATTACTGGCAAGGACTAGTGAATAACAGCACACTCAACTTATAATAACTACTTCAACTCATTAAGTTAATTTCAACAATAGTGGACTCCAGACATGCTCCTTCATTCTTATTCCCTTATCTCCTACTTAGAGACATATATCCCCTTGCCCATCCTAACACTTGACAATCTTTCTAATTTTGTTGAAATTTAAATCTTTAGAATTTTCTGTCGTAACATATAAACGACTCATACAATCTATAGAGACACTTCATATGTTATTCAAATTACTATCGCCATTTCTTATTATGTGCAACAAAGGGGTGTCATTAGTGAAACATAAAGATATTCTTTTGTTGCACATAATAAGAAACGGAGGAAGTAGAATTTATTCTATCTCAGAAACAATATGCAGCAAAGACTTCAACCAAATATGTTATACACATGAACACCATGTCAACACTCTAGAGTAAGGGATTCAAAGAATAACACAAGCAAAAAAAGGTCAATGACCCTAGAATCAGTAGCTTCTCAATGATAAAGAAATCTTGTCATATTTTTAGTGCAGCACGAACAAGATCCCACGCAGACTGCAAGAATGGCACTACTCAAATAAAAGAGGAAAATTATTTTATTCTAATTATGAAATACGAAGTACGTAGCTAGGCATAGGCCCAAGCACATCCCTAGGTTTGTTGTGGCTAGTAATATAAAAGTTTGGCCGGTGAATACAACTTATGTCTTTCTACATTCCCCAGACGAACAAGAAAGAACATAGTTTTAATTAGTAAAGAATTATAATTTTGCATCTTAGTTTCTAAGACACAGGATTCGAGTATGGCTAAGAGATACATTCCAAATGCACACACTGAAACCTGGTAGCCATATGCAAGGATTGTGAGCCTAACTCGGATAGGATGATGAAGAGGAACACATATTGAGCTAATGTGGAAGGATAGGCCTTTCAAAAGAAAGATATAGATGTGAAAAGAATACAAGAAGAGATAATAACATGTGTCTATCACCAACCCAAAAGGGATTGCATTCTCGCGTCAATTACATACCTTTCTAACAGTCATTGTCACAAATCAATCATTTTTGTCATGAGTTACAATAATATTAAGCTTAGGTACCCTTACACCAGATTAATATCACTTCCAATTCATAATAAGCATCAAAATTGCAACAATCAAGCACAGCATAAACTGAAATTCTGTAAATACTCATTAAAAACCCAAACCACAGTTGAATTAATAACTTTATATGTTCTCCCCAATAACTTAAATTTCCTTAGATTAAACATACAAGCAATCTCCATCAAACAATCCTAAAATCCATAATCATAAAATCAATTTCCATTAAATTAGATAACTGAAAAAACAGAACAAATCAACCCACATGTAACCAAATCTACACTATCGCAAATTCACAATCCAGTTGACCAATTAAAACAAACACAAAAACACCCAGATTCCTTCAACTAGCTAAAATCACCCCCAATTATCATACCCAGATCTAAATCAAGCCAAAAAGATCAAAATTCAACAAACCCTAAAAAACCAAAATCACTAAAATATCCACCAATTACCTTAGAAGGAATACAACCAACATTAAGGCAAGTACCACCAAGAGCACCACGCTTCTCAATACAAGTAGTTTTAAGCCCAAGTTGAGCAGCTTTAATGGCAGCAACATAACCACCAG